TTTTTTGTGGAACCAGGGATTGAACTCAGACCCTTGCACTTGCCAGGGAAGCACTTATCCTACTGAGCCATCTCCCTGGCCCTGGGTTTATTCTTTTGGATTTATTGTTTTGAGTTTATTCTTTTGGGTGGTCACTTTTTCCTGTATAACAGAAGAAATGGATCACTTAAGAGTATCACACTTCTAAAAAATGAATTGTATCATAGAAACCAAGAGTAAAAGAGTAGTTTCCAGATCCTAGGAGATGAAGTATTCTGTTGCAGTGGGTAAGTTTTAGAGATCTATGGTATCTCCTAGTGATTATGATTACTAACACTATAGGTACTAGAAAAATGCCAACAGAGTAGATTTGAACCGTTCTTACCACAAAAGAATGACCTAAGTAAGTATGTGTAGTGAAGATATGTTCCACAGCTTAATTTAGTCTTTTTATTATGTGTCCACATAGCAAAACATCATGTTGTATCCCATATAAATATGTGCGGTTTGTATACAGTGACTAAAAATACAAAATGATAATGAAATACGAAATAATAGTGAAACCATCTCTTGGTACATAATTAGTGAATAAATCACTGTACATACAAACTAAAGCTTTATCTCTAAGTTTTTATTTACTTAAAATGCTTAATGTTTCAGGGATCTGTTTGCTACTTTTCAACAAGTAACCGTCACCATACCAAATTTTACAACGATCCAGTGGAAGCTGTAAAAGACATCCCTAACGGTGCCACTATTCTGGTTGGTGGTGAGTAATCATGCTGGTTTTCCTTTCTGTGATGATGTCATTACACTTTTTGCAAAGTCTGAAATCACAGTAACCGGATTATATATTAGAAGTGCCAATTATTTATCCACTTTTTTTCTTGTTACATATTGCATTACCTTTCATTTTATTACAGTGTCCTCTTAAAGAATGAATAAAATGAGTTCAGGTGTGGTAGTACACACCTAGAGTCGCGGTGCTGGGGAGGCTGAAACAGGAGGATCAGTGAGAGTTCAAGCTGTGTAGTGAGACCCTGTACCAGATGCATTAACAAAAATAACACAATATCGGACTTTTTCTTTTGTGCTTTCTTTTTTCAGTTATTTTCAAAAGCTGAAGTGTCAAAAAAAGTGATGTCTTATTGGAAGCTTTGAAAAATTTCTAAATTCTTGGGAATGTTTTGGGGACTGACATTATAGCTCAGTGGGAGAGCACTTTCCTAGCCTGCATGATATCCTGACTTCCAAGTCCAACACTAGAGAAATTATTCCTTGTCTATGAGATAGAGAGCATACTACCTATTCATTGTTAATGCCCCCTGCTCCCTGCACATTCTATTACTATTTCTGTTTTCAGAGGTCTTTTAGAACCCTGTCTCACACTCGCCAAGCTTGCTGCCTTGTTCTCATAAATGGAATCAAGGTTTATTTTTAGGGCTGCTCTACATTCATTCATTCAGCTGATATCATCAAGTGTCCATTTAAAACCCAGTACTATTTTAAGAATTACAGACATTATAAAGAAATGAAAATTGTTGGCTTAGGCTGTCAGTTCTGCAAAATCGATATAACACAAACACTCCTGAAGTAATTGTATAAGGATTGAATTATAAAGTGGGACAACAATAGACTTGTAGCAAAGATTCTATTGCACTTTATGTTTATGCTTCAAGGACTTGAAAATGATACCTGGTGATGTATAATTGTATAAAATATTTGGGTCCAGTTATATACCCATTTATTGAGTTCCTGGGATACATCTGTGTACTTTGCTTCATGATTTAATAATGTTCTTTGCATTTTTTGCTACTAAGAGGAATAGCACGCACGTTTCCATGAAAGGACATCATGTTCTTTACAGATTGTTTACCTTTTGGGCTAATTATAGGTTTTGGGCTATGTGGAATTCCAGAGAATCTCATAGGAGCTCTGCTGCAGACTGGAGTAAAAGGACTAACTGCAGTGAGCAACAATGCTGGGTGAGTGGACATTTTTATTTTTTTTATTTTATTTTTTTATTTTTTTT